CACCCTGAAACCATTTCAAGAACCCAGTCTCATCTGTTCGGTCGTCTCTCAGTATCATCTCAACTCTCCCTCCCCCCTCTCTCTCACTGCTCTCTTTCCTCTACTCTTGCCAGTCCGGTCGACTCCCATCAATAGATGGCGATCTCGCTTATTCCCCTCCGCCGCCATTCTCACGCATACACCATTGCCCTCTCGCAACCTATTCGCAGACACAGTAGGAATTGAATTGAGAATCCCATTGACCTACGTTCTGTTCTTGATATCTTCTTCATCAACGTCAACGTCATCATGGCAATCGAGGTCCTCCCTCTCACTAAAGCGGATATCCCCGCGGCCGTAGAATGCATCCAGAAAGCATTTGCCGATGATCCATTCTTCCGCTGGGTATTCAACAAGAGATCTGGGGTAAGTATGTCTCCATTCGGAGAAGAGAGGGGTTCGAGGCAGCGATGACCCCCCCCCCCCCCTCTCCCATCGCTACCGCTTCCCTTTCCCTCCGAATGATGTATGATAAGGATACATGTAGAGCCACGCCCATTTCCCATTCCTACCCAAGACCCATCAATAACACGCGAAACCCCCCCAGTTCAATCTCCACCGCAACGCCGCCTCAATGGCCGCCCATTTCCAATACGGACTCTCCTGCCAAGCGCCCATCTATATCGCCAAAGCGACCTCCCCGACGAGTGCCACCGACGACGACAAGGCCGCCTTGCTCTCGAGCGACAACGACAACGAGAGCAACGGTAACGGAAACGCCATCGCGGGCGTGTGCTGGTGGTTCCCACCGCAACCGGCGGACGAGCCCGTGACGTGGACGGTGTGGGCGCAGGACTGGCTCCTCTCCTTCCGCCAGCTGCTGTTCAACATCCGCTTCGGCGGGCGCGGCGGGCTCAACGTGCGGCGGTACTGGCAGTGGAAGCAGCGGCAGGAGCGCACCCACGCCCGCATCTGGACCGACCCCCGCGGCTACTACTTCTGCAACGTGCTGGCCGTCAACTCGGCCATGCGCGGCATGGGCGTCGGCCGCAAGCTGGTCGAGGCAGTCACCCACAAGGCCGATCTCGAGGGCATGCCCTGCTACCTGGAGAGTTCCAAGGGGTTCCCCAATCTGGTCATCTATGAGAAGTTGGGGTTCGAGTTGGTCGAGGAGATTGAGTGTCTTGATGGGAGGGATGCTTGCAAGGTATGTGCTTTTCTTTTCTTTTTCGGCTCTGGGTCTTGTGCAGGTAGAGGCTAACTGGTTCTGTGTAGCTGTATTGTATGATCCGTCAGCCGAAGAAGGCGGATTAAGTGTCTGCAAGGGTTGACTTTGCCGTACTAGGGTTGTTTTCTTGGTTCACAATCGTCTTAATATTGTTGCTAGCTAGCATTACATATGAGCATCAAACCTTAGTTACAGCGTCTACCCTCACAAATCAAACACAGTCATCACCCTATCTGTACCTTTCTCCATTTCCTTGCCATATAATGCCTCCGCGGACCGTAACACTGCATTCTCCACCTCAAACGCAGCCAGATACTCGACCGTCTTACTCTCCACCTCAGTCAACCTCTCCCAGTCCGTCATCCCCACGCCCGCAACCCTCTCCCCGACATTGAAGCGAAAATAGACGTCCGGCGACATTTCAAACCTCCCCTCTAGGTCCCGTGCAACGGTCTCAGCCTCGAGGCTCAGCGCCTCCACCACCGCGACAATCTTGGTCGGCAGAAGCCGCTGGAAGAGCCCCGGCCGACCCAGCTGCACCGGCGGGGGCCTCCCGGCCCCGAGACTCACCACGCAACCCACCGGCCGCCGCTCGTCAAACAGCCGCCTCGCCTCATCGAGCAGCAGACGACATGGATTCTTCGTGCCGAGACTCCCATCCACAAACTCCTCCACCCCGACCCTCACGGGCTTGAACAGCCCCGGATGCGCCGTCACCGCCCGCGCCGCCTGCCAGACCGTGAGGTCCGGGTCGTCGCCCGCCCGATACGTGCGATACGAGCAGAACAGGCGCGCGTATTCCATCGCCTGGGTGCTGCGCACGCAGACGAAGCTGGATAGCATAAGTTTCTTTTCCAGGAAGATTCCTTAGGAGGATAGACTGGCAAGACAACTTACACTCTACAACCCACCTCAGCCCCCCCCTCCCCCTCGGCGGAATTCTCGTTCTCCTCGAGCAATAATGTCCTCTCCGAATCCTGATCCGAGGGAGTCGTGTACCGAATCACGAGGTCCCTCATCGCTGCCTCCATCTCGCGGGCGCTGTATTGCCCGTTCCCGCCGGGATGTCGTTTCCGCTGGGAGAACACCCGCTCCACGAGCTGGCGGTACTCGGTGACGGTCTTGTCGATGGTGAGGCGGAGGCGGCCCAGGAGCAGCGCCAGGAGGCCGCCGTGGCCGCTGCCGCCGATGAGGTCGAAGAGCTCGTGGGGTCGGGGCGGTTCGGGCAGGGCGTGCTGTTGCTGGATGGCGAGGGTGATTGACTTGAGGATTATGAGTTGGCTGAGGGCTGTGATGCCGCCGCCGTCTTTTGACTTGGGGGATTAGCTTTGGTCCAGGAGGGGTTGGAGGTTAGGGTAGGGTTGGGCTTACCAAGAGACAGGAGACGGAGGGGTTTGGTGGATTCTTCGGTGGACATTGTATTGTACTGCACTTTTACATGTGGGTTTCATATACCTGAGCGCTATAATGGTTTCTATTGAGCGTTGGACGAAGATCATTCTTATACTTATAGCAATTATAAAGCAGGGTGGAAGGGCGATGGGGCTGAAGTATAAGCGCTGAGCTTGGCGCCGGTGGTGGAGTTGAGTTTAAAGGTTATTTTTGGTAGGCCAACCACTTCCATCTGTTTTTGAGTCCCATTGTGCTTTCATGATGAGCGCTTCCCAATTAGATCAAGATGAGTTATTATTTGGATTCTGAGGACTGAATCTGGCTGTTGAGACAAGGGTATAAGCGCGCTGTCGCACGCACTAGGTACTCTGTGGCTCCATGGGGTGCCAAGAAAACGTCTGTGAGTTCGGCTTCAACTGACTATATCTCTGAGGGAGGAAGGTCAGTCAGTCAATCAAGATGTAATTTCTTGAAACCTCAATAGAGCCGCTGAGCAATTCTACACTGTCAACCAGGTCAACAGCACGTGAACGCTCAAGCCCTGCGGATCGGACCGACAGCGGAGTCTAAGATGACCGCTGATAAGCATGGGTCGATGAGATGATAACATTAACGGATGAGTCGATATGAGCCATATGCTTTTGTCCATTCTGAGTATAGATAGGACTTCGTAGCGTATGCTTACTGCTTTAGTCCCAATGCTTGGCCAATGGTACGTACTCGACTGACGATGTAATATTCCAGCCAGACTAAGCTGGCTAGTAAATTGCTTCTGACAAGACTATGTAAGAGACATGGCGTGAACACTGAATTTAGCCTCGTCTGGCGATAAATATCCCACTTTAATAAGTATCCCACGTTTCCACTGCTTACTTCGATCTCTACCAGCATTTCTTTCTTAAACATAATCCTATCTTCTCCATCATCGCTTGTTCGTCAAGCAAAAAAACCACAACTTCTCCATCACAATCCCTTCGTCAAGCACATCCTCCGCCATGAGCACCGCCGACAGCTACCTCCCTCCGGCGCTGAGCGCGGAAAGCATCACCGCATTGATCCTCTCCCTCTCCCTCCCCACCCCCACCAGCATCACCCCCCTCGAAGTAAGAGCCGCGTTCCACTCGATCTACCTCATCAGCTTCGCCGCCTCACCCACCACAAAGATCCCCGCCCGCCCCAACCCCGACGGCAGCACGACGCTCGTCCTCCGCGTCTCCGGGCGCCAACTCCCGCGCATCAAGACCCTCAACGAAGTGGGCGTCATGACCTGGGTCCGGACACACACCTCCATCCCCGTGCCCGCCATCCTCCACCACGACGCCACCGAGACCAACCCGATCGGCCACGAGTTCACTCTCCTCGAAAAAGCCCCCGGCGTCAGCCTCGACACGATCTACCCGACCTTATCCGAGGCGACCAAAACCCACCTGGTCCGCCAGCTCGCCGACTACCTCATCGAACTGCACACCCACCCCTGGACGGACGGGTACGTGGGGGGTCTCACCCTCACCGCGTCCGGCGAAGTCGCGCGGGGCCCGCCCATCGACGAAACCTACTGGCAGATACCCGACCTGGAGAAATACTGGTCTTCATCCACTGTCCCTGTAACGAGTCTGGAGACCCTCAACCCCATCCCCCCCGACGGGTTCACGGACTACGTGGCCTTCACCGTCGGCTGTCTGGACCGGTACCTCCACGCCATCGACATCCACCCCGCTCTGGAACCCTACCGGGATCTGGTCCGCCACATCCGCGCCTTCAGGGAGGCGATACAGCGGCCCGAGAATGCGGGGCGGCTGAACGAGATCCCGTATGTCCTCGCGCACAAGGACCTCCACTGCGCGAATATCATGTGCGATCCGACGCAGCCGGGGTGTCCGATCACCGCGGTGCTGGACTGGGAGTTCAGCGGGGTGGTGGCGGCGCCGCGGTGGAATCCGGTGCGGGCGTTTCTGTGGAATGGGCGGGAGGGGGAGGAGAATAAGGCGGAGCGGAACCGGTTGGAGGCGGTGTTTGAGGAGGTGGTGAGGCGGGAGAAGGGGGCGGAGTGGGTGCTGGCGGAGATGAAGTGGCGGAGTCCGTTGCAGGAGGAGGTCCAGAAGGTCGTGAATCACCTGCGCGCGATTATCGAGGTGGTTCCCCGGGGGCAGGCGGGGGAGAGAGCTGGGCTGTGGAGGACGGTTGTGAAGGAGGGGATGAGTTGTGTGAATGGTGGGATGGTGGACTAGATGTTGCTTCACCCGCCCGGCTATCTACTTTACCCGTTCTGTACTATAAATCTTTCCCATCAACATCACCACACCACACCACATGTCACCTCCAACAGTTTCGCACTTCTTCAGCGGTAACTTATCATCCTTGATCATCTAGCTCTCTTACTCGATATTCATCCTCCCGAAAAATGACCACCCCGAAAACCTACCACATCTTCGGCCAAACCCTCGCCACCAGCCTCTCCCCGACCCTCCACAACGCCGCCTTCGCCCACCACCGCCTCCCCCACCACTACACCATCCAAGAATGCCCCTCCCTCGTCGCCGTGCAACACCTGATAAATGCCCCCACCTTCGGCGGCGCCAGCGTCACCATGCCGCACAAGCTGACCGCCTTCCCGCTGTGCGATGCAGTCAGCGACGCCGCGCAACAGATCGGGGCGATCAACACCCTGATCGCAGAGACGCGGGACGGGAAACGTGTAATCACCGGCGACAATACCGACTGGCGGGGGCTGTACGAGCTCGTGGTGGAGTATCTCGCTGGTTGTCTCAGTTCCAGTCGCGACGATGAAGTCGGAGCCGGTGGTCCCGCCACCTCGCTCAATTCGGGCCTCACCTCCCGCTCCAACTCCAGGAAAACAGGCCTCGTCCTCGGGGCGGGCGGTGCAGCCCGCGCCGCAGTCTACGCTCTCATGCAGGCGAACTTTGCCCGGATTGTGGTCGCCAACCGGACGGTCGAGAAGGCGGGCACGATTGTTCGGGATTTCGAGGGGTTAGCGGGGCCCAATGGAGCAACATGCGAGATTGTGGCCATGGAGTACCCGATTCCTGTGGTGGAAAGGGTGAAGCCGGATGTCGTGATCGGGACGGTGCCGGGGGATGTGGTCGTGGAGGCGGATGTAGAGGGGCTGTTCGCGGGACAAGAGCACGAGAACGAGCACGGGTTGGTGGTGGAGATGGCGTACAAGCCCCGGGTGACGGGGTTGATCCGCGCGGGGCAGCAGGCCGGCTGGGAGGTGCAGGATGGGCTGGAGGTGTTGTTGAGGCAGGGGTTTGTGCAGTATTCCCTGTGGACGGGGAGGGAGGCCCCGGTGGAGGTGATGCGGGGGAGTATTGGGAGCATTGCGGGGGGTGTATAGTGTATTTGTGTTCTAGAAAGGAGGAACAGATGGCGCTGTATAGGCTGTGTACAAAACTATACTAAACACCCAAGAAACTTCTCTACAAAGCCAACTCCTCCACCAACAGCTCCCACGCCCTCATCCCCCTCCTCGCATGCTCGCGCGGCACAGCAGGATCCGCCTCCGTCAACGACCGCGAGAACAGCTCCATCGACACCCACCCCTCAAACTTCAGTTCTTTCAAAAACGCCCTCGCCACCTCCACAACAGGCAAATACCCGCCCATCTCCTGCTCAAACAAGAACAACCTCGCATTCCGACTCCAGCTCATCCTCGCCGGCTGACCCTCCACATAAAACGGATGGCCCGCAACAAGCGGCTGCGCCAACCTCTCCGCATCAACGACCTGCACATAAAACACCTTCCTCACATCAACCGTCCGCACCAACCTCCCCAACGACTCAGCCAGAACCCCATCCGCATCGCCCGCCACTTGGCCAGAAACGGCCATCGGATCCGCCCACACCCGCCCCGCGATGTTGAAGGTATCCAAGCAGCACCCGAGATTCGGCCGGTCCACGCGCCGCACCACCTCCCACAGCGTCTCCCAGCTGGAGACGTGCGTCGCCCACGCCAGGTTCTCGTATGCGAACCGCACCACGGGCGTTTCCTGGAGGCCCAGCTCCGCGATCTCGCGCATGTCCGCTACGATTACGTCCAGATCGCCGGTGGTGCCCGTGGGCTGGAAGTTGGACGGGATCTGGATGAGGTCTGTGCCCAGGGTGTGGGCGAGTTTGAACCAGGTGCGTAGTTTGGTGATGCGCTGGGCGTGCGCGGCGCGGTCGACGAGGCCCTCGTAGAAGAGGAAGGGCTGGAGGCTGATGATTTGCAGGTGAAGGGTGTCGCAGAGAGTTTTGGTGGCGCGGGCGGCTGCCAGGAGGGTGGACTCGGTTACGGCGGCCTGGGATTGCTCGCGCGCGAGGTATTCCAGGTCTTCGTAGAAGAGCTCCACGCCGCGGAAGCCGGCGGCGGCGATTTGGGTCAGTTTCTCGGGGAGGCGGTGCGCCCAGGCGCGGCCGACGGACATGGTGGCGATGGCGGGGGTGCAGGGCATGGTGGGTGGTTGTGGAATTTTAGTTGAAATGGTAGGTTGGAGTGATTCGTGCGGTCAATGGTACCCAGATGGGATTGAATGCTTGCAGACGGGACTATATACGTGGACTACTTCTTATCTCACCCCCCACGGCTATATCCACACCCGATCAGCATCAAAAATTGATAGCCGGACTCTCCTCCGCCGCCCGCCGCAGCACCGCCCACGCCTCCTCCACCGGCAGATTGCGGCTCGCCTCCTCCCCGCACCACAGCCGGTACTGCTCCTGGATCTGATGGCCGATGATCTCCGTCCCCTCCACCGTCGTCCACCCATGCCGTTCCGCCGCCTTCAGGAACCGCGTCCGCCGCGGCTTGAAGCACATATCCAGCAGCACGCCTTTCCCGTTGGTTTCTATGGACGTAGATGCAGATGCCGGGGCAGAAGCCAGGAACGCCTCCACAATCGCATGCACCTCGACTTCCTCCGAGGTAGTCGGCTCCGCATCCGGCACCGTGCCAACCACATAGAACGGCCGCTCCGGCAGCGCAGCCACCTGCTCCACCTGCGTCACATGCACGAGCTCCAATCTCCCGCCGTACACCCTGTAACACTCGTCCGCGAGCTCCCTCACCTCACCTGCATCCCGGTTGACGATGTAGATCGTGGAGCATTTCAATTCAGCGTGGAGCGCATACACCGCCGCGCGAGCAGCGCCACCCGCCCCGATGATCGCCGCCGGCTTCCGCCTGCCGGAGGCGCTGGCCCCCTCCAGGCAACCCAGGACCCCGCGCCAGTCGGTGTTGGTGCCGCGGAGGGCGCCGTCCGCGGTGCGGTAGACGTTGTTGCACGCGCCCAGCGTCACGGCGGGCTCGTCCAGCCCGTCCAGGTGCGCCATGATCGTCCGCTTGTAGGGCATGGTGACCACGGCGCCGCCGCTGAAGGTCGGCGCCCGGAACAGCGCCATCGCTTCTTCCACGGTGGCGCACTCGCGGGCCTGGAAGTGCCAGTCCGAGTGGCCCAGGGCGCGGAAGATGTGGTTGTGCATAGGAGGCGCGATGGAGTGGGTTACGCCTATGCCCACGAGGTAGGAGAATTTATTGGGCCAGGGTTGAGGTGGGGGGTCCATTTTTGGTGTGTGATGGGAGTGAAGATGGAAAGATGAAACGAGGGTGAGGATTGATAATGGTATAGTAATTCTCGTGGTGGGTTCGTTGGATGTGGTTTGTATTGTCAGTGGCAGGCTTAAATGGCTCTCGTCTCGGGGATGAGTATACCCGCACACGGGAAGAGTCTCTCCCGATGGCCAGCGACGGCATGGGGGATTTCCGAACCTTAAAAACGTCTACTGCACCCCACGGCGTTCTCCGCACTCTCTTCATGCATACAAGTCCCAGAACCTGTTACATCAGAATCGAACGCCGTTTGCAATACACTTACACACAATGCCAGACCTGCACTCCCTCCCCGCCGGTTCGCGCCCGGAACATGCCATCCGCAACAACGGGCCCCGCGACCTCGCGCTGGAGCGATACATGCTCCGCGAGCTCGCCGAGGGCTGGCCCTGCTACCGCGACGCCTGCGAGTGGGAGAACCTGCGCTCCATCTTCCACCCGGACGCCCACATCTACACGACCTGGACGGGGCTGACCCACCACCGGGCCTTCATCGAGGCCTCGCAGGCCGGCATGGACAACAGCGCCTTCATCATGCACCGCATCCACGGCAGCACCACCGACATCGACCCCGCGGCCACCCGCGCCGTCACCAAGATGAAGGCGACCATCACGCAGCGCTTCGCCGAGCTGCCCTGCCACGCCGGCGGCGTGTGTGAGGCCGATGCCGAGAGCGACTGCCGCTTTATCTTCTTCTGGCAAAAGGTGCAGGCCGACGACCCCGATCACCCGGAGTTGGGCGGCCAGTGGCGCGCCGTCTTTGTCCGGCATTGGTACGAGAAGGATAAACTGATCCCCGTGACGCCGGATCGGGTGCCGGTGTTGGATCACGAGCGGCTGCGCGCATATCCGCCGGGTTATCGTCATTTGGCGTACCTGCAGGAGCAGACGATGGGGGTGAAGGTACTGCTCGATCTGCCGGGCCATCGCAGGGAAGGGGACAGTGCAAATGGGCGGAAGCATGATTTGTTGTATTGGCAGGCCAAGGAGTGGCTGGATGGGAAGGAGATGAGTTGGGAGTGATTGTTGTGCCCGGAGCTTGTACGTCTGACTCATTTGTTGTACATCTGGATAAAGCGATACTTAGGAATCAATGATCGCAAATGAGTGACTACTCTCTGCCAGTGACTCTGCCAGTCAAGTATCCTCGGGTATATACTGAAGCTGCTCGAGGAAGTCTGTGTCCATGTTGCCCGCATAGAAGCCCAGGTTTTCCGCGAATGTGGGTTCGTGTCTAACAGATTTGTTAGTGGTCGAACAATACAGCGTGGTTGCAGAAGACATACCTGCTGGCTGGGATCGACGTCATGATCTCTTCGAATAAGGCATCAAAGTCCTCGGTTTCCTGTGTCTGCACTGGTTGTGTGGCCAAAGATCCAGAAACATTCCAAGCGGACGTCGGAATCTGGGGTATGACTGGTGCAACCACCATATCACTACGTTCTACTGCTGAGCCTGGCACTTGCCGGGCGGGGGTATCGAGAGGAGGACCAGACATACTGCTTGTTACTCGGTGTCTGAACAGTGGTACCTCCGAGTCCTGGCGGGCGCCGGCGGCATCTTCGAGCTTCAGCATGTCCACATGACGAGAAACTCGATCTTTCAGCTGTCCCGCTTCGTCACTTCCGAAGCATCGGGATGAGGTCTCTAAAGACTTTCTAGCCTGGAATGTGAAGCAACGAAGCAGTGGGGTTGAGCTGAAATTGTCGGTAATCTGCACGTAGTCATCAAGCAGGTTGACCATCGTGCGCACGTTCCGAGCCGTCTCTAAGGCTGCGGAAGCATCCTCCAGCTTGCACTGCTCGACCAGGTGTAACAAGGCGAAAGATGAAGTGAGATGAAGGATCAATAGAGGGGGCGTAGCATATTCCCGGCCCTTGTATGGGCGTTGCTCGGATATCTGCTTCTGTAAGCGTTGCAAGTCTACCAAGACCTCATGTGCAGAGATGACGCCCGAGGTGCACAGCGGCAGGCGATTGAGGATCCGCATGAACTTGTGGATCATGTTGAAAGTGCTCAGAGCACGAAGAGGGCTCTTCGAAATGAATCGCGTTTCCTCACCCTGGACTCGTCTCGTCATGGTCCAAGTGTCCCATTCATCCACGTCATCCTCGTCAACCTGTGCACAGACCTGGTGTTCTGGTCCGAGTAAAGCTGGTGATTTGTGGACCAGAGCCGATATGATCCCGTCAAGGAAGGTACAGCCAACGAAAGCATGCTTGGAACGGTGAGTCCGCGCTGGCGCGGGCAAGACGGCGAGTAATCGAGTCGCGTATCCCACAAGCACCCATGCCTGATCGAGATCTCCCCGGTCAAGATGACAGAGGACGAGGATGAGGAGGGCTTGGATATGGCTCAGTTCTGTCCCCTCATAGTTCCCGATGAGTCGCATTTGAATCGACTGCTGTATTTTCGAGCGGAGCGATCGGGTCATGGTAGATGTGTAGGCAATAATGGCCCAGAGCACGAGACGACACGCAGAGTCTCTTGGTGAGCCCGAGTGGGTATGCATAACGCGCAGGATGTCTCTGCGTTCGACTATTGGAAACCAGCAATGGGTGTGAAGGAAGTAGGAATCCACCAACTCGGGTGTATTATCTGGAAGTGGCAGATCCAGTGATATCGGAGTATGTTGGGGTGGAGTGTCTTCCCGCTGTTGTTCTTCTCTCCCGCTGTGTCTGGGGACTTCCCTTTCCATCTCCATCTGCTCTCCTTCTTCTCCTTCACCCAGGCAGTTCTCCACCAGATCCTCTCCCAGCCCATCATCATCAAAGACAATGTCGCCTGCATCATCTCCAGCCTCTGCTTGACTCAAGTAAATAACCTCTTTGGCGGGCTTTGACCTCCTCCAACGGTCGGCCAACTCACTGCAAGCGAGACGCTTACCCTCCCGAGCACCTCGGACGATACGCTGCAGCGTGCTCTCACTATTAGGGACCCGTTCGAGGATAATCCCGAGCGCGACCTCCAAGCTCCTCACATATCCCGATTGCAACCCTCTTCGTCGACTGCTATTTTGATACGTGCACGTCCGGTTTGCCGCCTGGCAGATGGAGCACACGGGCTGCTCGCCGCCGCACTTGGACTTCCGACGCCGACATTGGTCACACGCCCGGCCAATGCGCTTTCTCTTCGGCAATCTGGGATTTGGCATGACATAGAAACCCAAAGACTGCAATGCATGAACCTGACAGACAGCATTGTGCACGCAGATGTCTCGTCTGGTTCAGATCCCGGGACGTCATGTGATCGGTTAGGACTTTAAGCGATGGCAAATTTCGGTGATTCCAACTTCACTGACAGACAGACAGATTGAGATCACGATATACTATCTGTTTATCCCAACTACTAAAGTTCAATGTCTGAGTATCATCGCGCACCCTCCTAGCCGACGATGGCACCAGGAATCTCTCCTCCCTACTCCCCGCCACATTCCGGGAGTGTGACCTCCACCAGACGGTACAGTCCCGATGCAACACTCGTACTGGTCGGATTTGTCGGGGCGGGCAAGAAGACGCTGGGGATCATCGCCTCTGTCGCACTCCGCCGTCGCTTTATCGACTTTGATACCGTGTTCCGTCAAGAAACACAGACTTCGCCTCAGGAGTACATCGCACAGCATGGTTCTACGCGTTACCGAGAACTAGAATTGACGCTGACTCAACGACTCCTGGAACAACATCATGTCGGCTGTGTGATTGTTGGTCTGGGATGGCTGGCCACCCGCCAACAGCAAGAGCTACTAAGCACGTTCGCCCAGGAGCACCCTGTCGTATATGTCAGGAGAGATCGGTCGGATCTGCAACGAACTATCAACATCAATCAGGAAAAGTTCCATCATCTTTTTTCAGTGGGGAACGCATTCTTCGAGGCTTGCTCCAACTTTGATTTCTACAATCTGACCCAAAGTACGACAGGTGGTGATGGCAGACCAGAGGCCGTTCATATGCGACTGAGACTGGCCGGAAGAGTGTTCATTGCCTTTCTCGAACGCATTTACAGTCAAGCCACCTGCAGTGTGTACTCAGTCAACCCATTTATCGAGGGTTTTACACATGCTTTGCAGATTCCGATTAGCTGGCTAGAGGAATCTAACTCGGACTATGCACAGCTGGACTGTGGGGCAGATGCCTTAACAATCTTAATCGACGTTTATTCCCGACACAGAACCACGGAGCTAGCTGAGAGCTTAGCACAGCACATGGCTACTGTCCGAATGTATGCCAGAGTTCCGGTTCTCGTGGAGATCGCAGATGCAAATCAACTTGAGCCTGTGGAGTACCACAGCCTCCTGAAACAACTTCTCAGACTAGTACCAGATGCTCTCGCATGCTCTCTTGGCAGTTCTCCGGAACATCTGCGAACTATAATCGACACGAAAGGCTACGTCAAGGCAATTGCTACCTATCACATATCGGGCCCATTGTCATTGCAGAGGTCAACAGGTGTTTCTTCGGAACTCAAGAAAGCTGAAGAGTTTGGCTTCGACGTTCTACGAATTACTGGGGAGTCAACAGTGGAGATTGATAACCTGGCTTGTATCGCACTACGTCAACGTCTAGCCCACGTGGCTAAAATTCCGATAATTGCCTACCACAAGGGAAATCTAGGCAGGGCGAGTGTTTACTTGAACCCAATCCTATCACCCGTGATGCTCCCTCACATGCAAAGCGAGGGAATCTCGCTGCAGTCTGCCGAACAGGCTCTCACAGCTTGTTATTTGAGGCCCAGGAAGCTGTTCACGATATTTGGCCAAAACGTGGCGCAAAGCCTCTCTCCAGCAATGCATAATGCCGCCTATGCTGCTTGTGGTCTGCCACATCAGTATGATAGCGTGCAGTCTGGAGTCTTCGACGAGGTTATCCATCTTCTCGCCGATGCCAACCATGGTGGTGTCGCAATCTCACTACCGTTCAAAACCGAAGTGCTTCCTCATTTGGATGAAATAAGCCGAGAGGCAAGGGACATTCACGCTGTGAATACTGTGGTCCTGGAACAGAGCGTCTCAGAGACTGGGCAGCCCAGCAGAAAGCTCAAAGGATACAATACAGACTATATTGGTATCATGGCTGGAATCGACAAGAACCTGTCACCAGCCAATGCCATTCGTGCCGGTACATCGGCCTTGATTATTGGGGCCGGCGGTATGGCCCGTGCCGCGATCTATGCTTGCCTGCAGCTGGGTGTGCAGCATATCTGCCTTTACAACAGGACAGCTTCTAACGCAGAGAAGCTTGCGGAGTATTATCGTGACTGGGCTGCGTTGTCGGAGTCGGCTACTGGCCTTCGTATCGAGGTTTTATGTTCGGCGAATGAGCCTTGGCCCCGACATCTGCGACAGCCTACTATCGTCGTGTCTTGCTTACCTGCTCTTGAGATTGGCAGTCAATCGCCCGTAACTCTGCAGTTACCTGAGCAGTGGCTCCAGAGTAGCACGGGCGGAGTCTTCGTGGATGTGAGTTGTTCTTGCCTCCTTGCAGACACAAACTAATGAAAAACAGGTTGCGTACGGGAAGCATCAAACGGTGCTACGGACATCAATGAACGACAGGGCCTCGAAAGGATGGGTGGTCGTTGATGGCTTAGTGGTTCTGCTGGAACAGGGCGTCGCTCAGTATGAGCTTTTCACCAAACGACCGGCACCGGTACATGTTATGAGGCGCACCATACAACAAAAGTCACAAGGTTTCTATCCAACTTCGCCCAGTGTTTCGACTTGAGGCTTGTATATACATTTCCAATGATGATGCAATGATCCCTGTTCCCCAGACCTACACCACAGACATTCTATGCATCCGATGCAGCCCTCGTCGATGACATCGACTAGTCTACCGCAATAGCGTCCACTTCGATCTCGACCAGCATGTCGGGGTCGATGAACCCATTGTGCACCACAATCATGGTCGCAGCTGCTCCAATCGGCGTGTCGCTACTGCTAGCATTTTCCTTGCCTAGAATCTCCTTGAATCCCTCCCCCACGGCGCGACAGTCCTCCCGCCGACTAACGAACATCTTCACACGCACGATGTCTTCGGGACCGCGTCCCCCCATGGCTTTGACGGCTTTGATGCATTCCTGCAGCGCCACGCGCGTCTGTTGCTTTGCGTCGCCGGGGAAAAGGATCTGTGGGATGCTTGTGGTGGGGTCGACGGAGGTTGTGCCGGAGACGAAGATGTGTTGGCCGTGGCGGACGGCGCGATAGTAGCCGATGAGATCCTCGAAGGGGGAGTCTGTGGCGTAGCACTGCTTCGACATTTGTGTATGATTTGGTGGGAGAGGTGAGAGGTGAGAGGTGAGTGGTGAGTGGTGAGTGGTGAATGTGGGTGACAGTGGGTTGACGAGAGAGGAAGAAGTAAACAGGATCTTGCACGACAGTATCTTACAACATATATGAACAGCTGAACATGAAATACAAGTACTTGCTGTCTCTACAAGACATTTATACACTCTATGACTCATTCACAGCGAGCACTGACTTACCTCCTCTTGGCGGGACAACTGGCCGGCCTCATGAATTGGATAGGATGCAATCCAAAGCCAAACTCTACTTCTCTCACCTCAACACGAGGTCAACAAGCTATATACAAGAACCCACCCCCAAAACCCTTGTTGCAAAGCAACCCCATTATTTCCCCAATCCCCCGCTCTGCTCTCCAGCCGGATCCCTCCTCTCCCGCATCATCATCACCCACCGCTGCCGCTCGCTCCGGCCCCCCAGCTCCGCGAAATCCAACTCCAACACCTCCAGATCCCGCCACCCATACTTCCGATAAACGGGGTACCCTTCCTCCGTCGCCTCCAGATACACCCGCGCATTCCGCGCATCCGCCCGCTCCAACCCCCACCGCAGCAACCCCGACGCCACGCCTTGGCCTTGTGCTTCGGGTAGCGTCGCCAGGAATTCGAGGACTGCCCCCTCCCCCAGCCCCTTTGAATTAGCGTGATCCCCCACCTTACTGACAACAACAACAACACCAAGAAAGAACAAGAAAAAGGAGGCAACACCAAGGAAGAAGATGGGGGAAAACGCACCAAAATCGCCCTCCCGTAGATACTTCGCCTTCAAGCGCTCCAAATCCCCCCAGAACCGGGAGTGGACGGCCAGGTTGGTGCCGGGGGGGAGGGCCCCGTCCCCGGCCCGTCGGAAGGCGGTGACGAGGTCTTGGTTGGCGGGGGAGAGGGCACTTGCACCGGAGCTTGCGGGGGCGGGGGGGCCAGGGACCGTCCAGCGCGCGTAGCCGACCACCGCGCCCGTAGCGGGATCCTCGGCGACGAGGAGGTGGGAGGCGCCGTCGGCGAGCTTGGTCAGAGTGCGGGCGAGCTTGAGCGGGTAGGTGGCCCGGCGGTCGAGGGCGGGGAACAGGTTGCGCCAGAACGGGGTGGGCTCGAAGGCGGTGATGTTGATGTGGGCGAGGTGCGGGGCGTCGGGTTCGGTGGCGCGGCGGATGGTGTATTTAGTTGAGGGGGGCATTTTGGTGGTGGTTGTTGTTGGGGTTGTTGTTGTGAGGGATGAGTTAGATGAGGAGTACGCAGGGCTAGGGACGGTGCAGTATTATAGTAAGTAGTCTAAGGGGTGAAAGGGCAAGCGGAGGCGGGGACGCAATGAGGAAATTAGTGGGTTTATGTGCAAGGGCAAATCCATTTGCCATACGGGGGGGGGCTGCTATAAGGTGGGAGTGATAAGCGTGGATCGAACTTCGTAAGGCGTGGTTTGCGTGTGTCCGAGCCCAGAAGCATTCCTTAGATTGAGTCATGTAGTAAGACGATGATTGGATACATGTAGACACTTGGATGGATAGGGACTAGACCTGTGGGGATTGACAGGCTGTCTGTGAATACGCACTCCAGTCGGACAAGTCAGACACACGAAAATGGAGAAAACTACTACAATAATGTCTCAAGAACAATGGAAGAACCTGTTGAAGTCTAACGAATGTAAAACAGTGGAATAAAATACATCAGAACATGCGGGATGCCCCTCCCTTTGTACTAAATGAGTGAGTGGTATCGAGTATGTGATACAACGAGTGACAGAACTTTCGGTGAACATATTCAGTGGGAAGCGTGAAATAGAGACATTATGTTTTTAAAGAGAATGGTGGGCCGGATCCTTACAGGATCAAGGCCAGGAGAGCCACAAGACCAGAGAAGACCGAAAAGACGCCAGCGTAAGGTGCGGCCTGGGGTGCTCCAGCCCCGGTGAACAGAACACCGGTTGATGATGCCGACGGTGCAGCCGGGGGTTGGTTGTAGCGGAGAGTGGGTTCGTAGGCATCGACGCCCGTGGAGTGGGGACTAACAACGCTCGTAACCGCAGTGGGGACGGCGAACGACGAGGGAGTGGTGGCAGAGGACTGTGGCACATACACGGGGATCACGTGGAAGGTGGAATCTTGTTGAATCGTGATGCTGGAAGCTACCTTGTCCATGACAACCGGCTCTGTGCGGGCCGGAGCGGCAGTCGTCATCGCACTTTGCACAACACTCGTCGCGAACGGCTCAGAGCCAGGAACGTGGTGAGCTTCATCCAGGTTGGGAGTGAAGGGGTTGGTTGGGGCCGCGGCCTCGTGGGTGGGGTTAGACTGCGCAGCAGACTCGGTAGGCTCACTCGGGGCGAGGGCGGAGTGAGTAGGTGCAGGAGCTTCAGTGGCCACAGCGTCAACCTTGGGGGCTACTGTGGATTCGGTGGGAAGGGTGCGTGTCACCGTACGCACGACCTCTTGAACAGTAGGCTCGCACGATGTCGAAGCCTTGGGCTCGGGCTGCTTGGGAGGTTCATCCGCATGGGGCTCTGCCTTGGGTTCCTCCGGTTTGGTCTCCTCATGTGCTGGCTCCGGAGCGGGCGCGGGAGCAGGCTCATGCTGAGGCTCTGGAGCCGGCTCAGGATCGTGCTTGGGTTCCTCCGGTTTGGTCTCCTCATGTGCTGGCTCCGGAGCGGGCGCGGGAGCAGGCTCATGCTGAGGCTCTGGAGCCGGCTCAGGATCGTGCTTGGGCTCGGGAGCAGGGGCCGGATCCTCGTGCTTCGGTTCCGGAGCAGGTGCAGGAGTGTCATGCTTCGGCTCGGGAGCTGGCTCGGGGTCGTGTTTCGGCTCGGGAGCAGGGGCTGGATCCTCATGCGGTTCCGGAGCAGGTGCAGGAGTGTCATGCTTCGGCTCCGGAGCCGGCTCGGGGTCGTGCTTGGGTTCTGGCGCAGGCGCCGGGGCTTCATGCTTGGGCTGCGGGGCTGGCTCAGGTGCAGGGGCCGGAGCCGGGGCCGGAGCCGGAGCTGGAGCTGGGGGCGGAGGAGGAGCGTCGTGAGTGGGAGGCTGAGGGTGCCCATGAGGCTTCGCGACGATGGTGGTCGTAACCTGTGCGTGCACGGAGTGATCATCCTTGTGGTAACTGTTGGATTCAACATCCACAGTATTAGTGAAAGGCATCACCACGCTGTTGCCGATGTCAACACCAGAAGGGCCTCCCAGAATGCTGAAGTCCCCTCCCCGGCGGGCATGATGCTTGCTGATGTCAATGTCGACCGAATGATCGTCATAGCTCTGCTCGTTGACCTTGGACTTGAAGGAGTTGCTAATAGGAATATCAACTGAGTTACCAATGTCAACACCCTCAGCCCCGCCGATCACGTCAACGTGCTCGCCCCGGCCGCGAGCCTTGTAGTGATGGGGGTGTACGATGGTGGTGTCGGTGTCGATGTCGCGAGAGTGGTCGTCCTGGTAATAATCATTAACCTCAGAGGAGAACTTGCTGGTGATCGGCATATCAAATGTGTTCCCAGTATCTACACCCCCAGGTCCGCCAATTACGTCAACATGATCACCGTGTTGGCGCTTGTGGACAATCTTCTTGTCAACATCAACGTCCCACGAATGATCATCCTGGTAATAATCATTGACCTCGGAGGAGAACTTGCTAGTGATCGGCAGCGAAAATGTGTTTCCGATGTCAACGCCCTCCGGTCCACCGATCAGGTCAACATCATCACCGTGTTGGCGCTTGTGAACAATCTTCTTGTTGTAGTCAATGTCCCGCGAGTGGTCATCTTGGTAATAGTCGTTGACTTCCGAGGAGAACTTGCTTGTGATCGGTAGGTCAAAGGTGTTCCCGATGTCGACACCTCCGGGTCCACCAATCACATCAACGTGCTCGCCATGCTCGCCATGCTGTCGCTTGTGGTGAGGACGCACGATCGTCTTATCATAATCCACATCCCACGAGTGGTCATCCTTGTAATAATCATTCACCTCGGAGGAAAACTTGCTGGTGATGGGCATGTCAAATGTGTTGCCAGTATCAACCCCGCTAGGCCCACCGATCACGTCCACATGTTCGTGTCCTCCACGAGCCTTGTGGTGGTGAGGCCTAACAACAGTCTTATCCACATCGATGTCTCTGGAGTGGTCGTCTTGATAGTAGTCATTGACTTCGGACGAGAACTTGCTTGTGATAGGGAGGTCAAAGGTGTTGCCCAGATCGACACCACCAGGGCCGCCGATAACATCCACATGCTCGCGCTTGTGATGGGGACGGACAATCGTGGTATCCTTGTTCAGATCAAAGGAGTGATCGTCAACATATGCGTCGTTGACGACGGAGGAGAATTTGCTGGTGATCGGCATGTCAAAGGTGTTGCCGGTATCGACACCACCAGGGCCGCCGATCACATCCACATGCTCGTGGCTTCCACGGGCCTTGTGGTGAGGCTTAACCACAGTCTTGTCCACATCAATATCGCGGGAGTGGTCGTCTTGATAGTAGTCGTTGACGGTGGATGAGAACTTGCTGGTAATAGGGATGCTGACGGTGTTCCCGGTGTCAACCCCTCCAGGCCCGCCGATAACGTCCACGTGCTCATGCTCGCCCCTAGCCTTGTGGTGGTGAGGGGAAACGACAGTCTTATCCACATCAATATCACGCGAGTGATCATCGACATAGGCATCGTTCACAGTCGAAGAAAACTTGCTGGTGATGGGCAAATCAAAGGTGTTGCCGACATCAACTCCCTCAGGCCCACCGATCACATCGACATTCTCATGATAACCACGTGCTTTGAAGTGACCAGGTCCGTGGTGCTTGGGGTTCACGATGGTGGTATCTCTGTCAATGTCCCGGGAGTGGTCATCAATATACGCATCGTTGACAACAGACGAGAACTTGCTCGTAATGGGCATATCGAAGGTGTTCCCCGTGTCAATACCTTCAGCGCCGCCGATAACGTCGACATGTTCGTGCTCTCCGCGAGCCTTGAAGTGGCTCGGGGGGTGCGACTTGGGTTTCACAATGGTGGTGTCGGTATCAATATCACGTGAGTGGTCATCGACATAGGCATCATTGACCGTGGAGGAGAATTTGCTGGTGATGGGCAGAGCAAATGAATTGCCCGTGTCAACACCGCCGGGTCCTCCGATGACGTCGACGTCTTCGTGCCCACCACGAGCATGGTGGTGCTTGGTATGGCCGTGAGGCGGCACCACCTCGACGACATCCTTCTCCAGCTGAACGGAGTGGTCATCTTCATGGTACGAGTTCTCGTGGTTCGACTCCGCGTGGACTTGCGGCTTCACGTAAGTCGATCCCTTCGACAGTCCGTCGTTGGACTGGATCACCTCCTCTCTGGCCCCGTGGTGGTGAGGGCGACGGCCATGGCCCGGCTCGATGACGGTCTTCTTCGCATCAAGGTCGAAAGAGTGGTCGTCCGAGCGGTAGTCGTTCACCTCACTCCGGAACTTGTTGTCGACCGGCAGCGCGGCGTCACTGCCGCGATCTTCGCCCTGCGAGCCCCCGATGACCGAAGTGGCGCGGGCGACAGCAGCCAGGGCCGCGAGTGGGATTCCTGCCTGGAGTCCCTTCATGCTTGTTGCTGTTGGTGTTAATTATAATCGATAGAGATTTCACGTCAAGGTATAAGAAACAAAATACAATACAACCGAAAGTTGAAAGAGTGACTGGGGGCCAAGGCCGGTTGAGGGAGGGGCGTAGGAAACAAAGATTAAGGAATGAATTAAAAAAGAATTGGTTGTCGACTATTCACGTACGATCGATTCGACCTGCTTCGAACAAGAAGCTCCTAGGTTTGCGGACCCTGTTGCACCTTTTATCATAGATGGCATCATCCTGGCGCCGGCATGCTTCTTCCTCTGCGGCAAACAAACAAATACAAGCAGGGTGTTGTTGTCCTTCTGAGAATGCTGTGAAGAATGGGCAGTCCTGAAAATCCAAGCCAGACCATGTGTTCCCAGGAACTTGAGGGTTCTTCCCTCAGTGGTGGTTCGCTGCATTCCTCATGCTGAATGGCGTATAGAGTCAAGGGATCGGTATGCGCGATCTCCACGCCTGGATGAACATAATAGGTGCGGATATCAAAGATGTCGTCCTGGTCCAATGGGAAATCGAACAAAACTTCGCATTGATCAATGGGATTCGCTCCATCTGGACTTGGAAGCGTGATGAAAGTAGGAGAACAACTTGGTGTATGGGAAACGGCCAGGTACGAAATCTACAGCGATGAGGATCCCCTCGCCGGCGCCCGGCATGACTTTCTCCCGCTGCTTCTTTGATTAATCCGGCACTGCCAGCGGCCACCCGAGGACTGTCTGATTCTGCAGACTGATCAATTGGTCTAGACGCAGCTTTTAGCGAGTTTACGAAGTTTGAGCGAAATACGTGAGGGAATGGCCATTTTATTCAGGTTAAGGATATTCAGTACAGTCATTATATACCAAAAGTGATGTATCCCGTCATCGACATTCCCCCCTCATCGCCCTCACTGAAGAGGACACAACGAGAAGCGAACTTCCTATCAGGGAGAATTGTTCTCCAGAGCCAATCAGTCCGTAGACCGAAGGCAACACTCGTCGTGGGAAGATGGACGAGGGTCGTGGCAGGCTCTGTTAGCTTTTTTCGATGTAATGAAGAAAAGAAAAAGTTCAGATAGGGAGCGCCGCCAGCACACGGTATTTATGTGGCCTGTTGATCACGTGCTTGAGCTAGGCATCCGTCCCTCGCTAATTGCCAAGCTGTCAGGCACCCACCCGTTTGGCCTGTATGTTCTGTTTGTATTTGATCTTATCCCGTTGTTACAAGCAACAATCTCGCCCCGCATGCCTCGCTAGCAAAAGACCAGAAAGAGCCACCAAACCCTCATTTATGTACAGGAACTCAGAAGAATAAAAAAAAAAAAGGAGAGAGAGAGAAAAGTAACCTCAAATGAAAAGGCGAAAAATGTACATGCAACCCAGTTCCTACCCAGCGAATGCTCTCCAGACTCCAAACTCCCATGCAGTATAGTTATGCTCCGCAGAAATGTGTTGTTTGAGGTGATGACACTGCAAATTGTATCACAACCGAGAATGGTAGGTTGAGGTATCGACGGAGAGGGGCAAGGAGACACTGGTCCTATTCGTGTACTGTACTTAGCATTTCGCGCCTCCCATGAAGCCATAATATGCAACATACCTCTGTATCCTCAGCCGATTAACTCCTGTCGGTGATCCGACCTCCACACGGCTCCTCCGACAGCGACGGTAATTCCCACCGCGATCGCAATCATGGTTCCCAGGATCACCACGGCAATGACGCCTTTGGCCACGATGCGCTGCTTGCGGCTCAGCCGATTCATGCACCCGCAGTGCCTCTTCGGTTGGCCCCAGAGATTCGACGTCGACTCATGACGGCTGCCCGACTCCAAGGCGGATACGTTGAACATGGGCGGGCTCTCGGGGATGACGGGGGAAATGTAGCGCTGGACGGTGGGCTGGGGTTTCTCACTTTCCACTTTCAGGCGATCGATGTTCATGGATGGGGTGGCATGGCGATAAAAGGGTGAGGAGGGCTTTGCGCCCACACAGGGGTTGTAGTCTCCTGGCTGGAGATCAGGGGAAGAAGCCGCCGCCGCCAGGTGTGCTGGTGTTTCAGAGTCGGCGGGGAGCTCGACCGCGGCGGGATATTTCTCGGCTTCGCACACACTGTGACCTGTCATTTCGCCAGGGTGATTCGTTCGGTTGGGGGTCCCTGGGATGTGGCGTGGAATATCGGATGCTGTTCCTTGGGGAAGCTTGTTTGGGGCAGATGTTAGGTTGCGACTTTGGGGTCAAAGATAGGAGTGCAGGTGTAGGTCATGAAGATCAGGTTTATCGATGTGGAGCTCCAGGAGCAGCAACCTAATGATAGTACTTGGTCGCAAAGGACAACGTCTGGGCCCAGGGTGTCGTAGGCCGTTCAATGCATGATGGAAGGGGGTAATAGCAGTAAGTCAGTGGTGGCTTCCTGAGGCGTGCAGCGGGTTGCGACTCGGGGCTCGCCATGGCAAGATCCATCCTGATCTTTTGTGTCTTTTCATCGGCGGGAGCTAACGATGACAGTTGGAGAGCTGCAGACAGCATTCCTATTGTTTTCAGTGGGCTGGCCCTGATCCGGCTACTTTGGGTGGCAGTCTGGAGTAACTGGGGCAATCGGAAGTATTTGCATGCTTCTATTTTGGACGGACTGGCCGCGTTCGACACCTTGGCCGCCGTTATATGATTGTTTGCATTATCCTTTATCTCGATAAATTTTTATTGCTGGATAGATTCGACTGTAAGCAATTCGCTCTCGATCAAGCTTTGAATTAGATGATGAAGAAGTAAATAGAAAGCCTACTATTGCTTATGGTGGGGTGGTAAAGGTTGCCGGGGGGGATATGTTCCAGAGCGCAAAATATATATCTCCGAGTTACTACACCACAAACATCAATCTATGTATCCGCTCAACCTCCTTACAAACATCAATTATGACATCGGAAACCAAGTTAACAACATGATATACTTAAATACTACTATTGGATCTTCCTAATTACCAGGATTTAATCTCACCATGCTATCGACGTGTGGTGAGCAGACATAGTACTGCGCCTGCACCTAAAAATAACGATACAATACCCGACTTCACTCCCTGCTTGATTACATCTGCACCGAACACCAATAGACCACCCATAGACCGACTCAAACATTGAGAAAAGTATATACACCCAGCAGCATCTCCCCCGACGAAAAAGCTCACCAAACAAACTACATCACACTTCATAAGAGTCCTCATCCCCGTCGCTTGACCCGTAAGCCCACCCAATGTCCAAGATAGAGAGTCTAGACCTTCGACGCAGCCATCATCGTTGTCAGTTACTAGATCTAAGAAAGGAACAAAAGCCCACTCCACACCAAGCCACTCAATCCCCCTCCCACCGCCGGATGATCTCAACAAGTCCCAATTCCGCACCACCACTTCCTTCCTCAACCCACTTCGCCGGTTGACTAGGATACACCCTCAAGACCACCAGCTCAAGTATGTGTATGCTCGCGGAATGTAGAACAATCAATGACCAATGAGCGGAGGAACTGAAATGAATTGTTTCCGGCCAGAGGGGGGGGGGCAAAGGGCAGGGTTCCACTGCACCCATAAGTTCATCCCTTGATCCCCCCTCGCAACTATCCCGCCCAGCATTCCCCAGCGACTGAACGATCGAAAGAAAACTTGAAATATGAATCAATGTCTCTCTTATCCTCTCTGTCGGTTCCCCGTGAGGCTCCTAAGAGAAGAAATGGAATCAAGTAAGTGGTCAGATATTCCCGCAATGGCGTCCTGTAGTCCAGGGAAACCGGGCCCTGAGATTCGCTGCCTGAGTCACTTTCCAGCCACCTTCCATCGAATATGATGGCTTTCCCCCCCAATTTTTGCCCAGTTGGCTGAGTCACTTGGGGCAACGGGTGTGGAGTTCAACCGCCGACGATCCAGATGTTCTGTCGAGATCTCAGCTTGGCTCGCGTGACCACCATCTCTTTCCCCAACGTGAGAGTAGGATAGGGTCTAGGAATTGTCCCACCATGCAGGACAAGACCGTTTCACCAGTGACATGGAGCACGCACGAGTAAGAAGAATAGTACTAGCTACCCCTAAGAAACTAAGGTTGTCCGCGTCGAAGGTCAGTCAATGCACGCCACGGGCCTTATTTGAAAGTATCATTATACTACACTGGAAGTATCAGTATACTACACTTCCCGCTCCCTTCCCCAGCAAACATCACCATCAGCCAACACCATGCACAAAGAACCCAACACGCCCCGGTCCAGAAATAAACCAAGTAAACCACCAAGCCCCCCCCAAAAAATCAAAATAACCTCAACCTCAAACCAATCTCGGAACCCATTTCCCCCACCCTAATCAACCCCCAATCCCAGTCCCAACCCAACTCACCACCAAAACCAACCCAAACTATATACATCCATATCCACCCCCACCCTCCCAGAAAAGATAATCACAACAACCCAATCACAACATCCCCATAAAGCTGCGCATCCAACTCCAACTTGACCTTTGCGTGGAGATTCAAATGGATCCGGATCCGGAGACTCTCCTTGCCGTCCTCCTCCTGCGTGGGCCCGGGCGCCTTCATCCCGCTGTTCGGCACCAGGCCCTGGGATGTGGTGTTGGTGGCGGCAGCGGCGGCGGCAGCGGCGGCAGCGGCAGGGGGGTCCGTCGGGAGGTTCTCGGCTGCAGAAGGGGCGGAGGAGTCCAGCTCGTCCTCTGGGTGGTCTTTGCTGGTGCTGTTCTTGCGGCCGCCGGTGGGGCGGCTGTCCGGGAGGCTGTTTTCGGGGGAGGTGGGAGAGAGGTGGGGTGGTTAGTGGTTGTGGTTGTGGAGTCTTAGGGAGATTTGAAAAGGAGTAGAAGGATGGTTTGGGACGTGGAAGTGGAAGTGCAGATGGAGGGGAAGAAGGTGACTCTAGGGACAGAAATTGGCTCTGATATGTTCTCCTCTTCCTTTTCTTCTGCTTTTTCCAGTAGTTGGTGGAAGCATTAGGGTTATAAGGGATACCATCCATGGACATGTATTGGGTGGAATTAAGAGGATAAGAAAGATAGACTGGATTGAAATGCGTCAAGACCAGCAAGAGTCAAGGACATACCTGGTAATTGACTCGGCCATTTTAACGATATCAGTAGATCCCGGTGCAACTGATTCGGTAGGAGGAGAGAGCAGAGGCAGCGGTGTTGGTGGCTGTAGGGAGCAGACGAGATCAGGCAGGAAGAACTGGGAATAGAAATAAGACGTGGACGAGGAAGAGCTTATTTCAGAAGACGGCATGACAGCCTGGAGGATGAACAAGAGAGCACCATTAAAGTATGGAGTATAGTATAGTACAACCTGACCTCATCGACTTTAATCGCAAGCTGAAGTTACCTTGCCTAGTAGCGATGGACCATCGCGGCGCTCTGGATGGAACATACTCCACCTGCCACCTGCAGCGCCAATCAGTCATATTTAACTCACACTTAATCACATCTCGCAGTTCAGCCGCGGAAAACTGCCTACGGTCCTCTCCCGGTGTGAGCACAAGGCAGTCATCGGCCTTGTTTAGAATATCTAGCGAATGGTCATACTCTTTCCTCCACATCCTTTCGACACAACCAGCGAACCCCGCCACCATGGTGGTAGGAATTGCAGTAATGGCAGCTCTGCTGCCCACCATGATTGGTCTGAATGAAGCTTCCCAACACACGCGCGACCATGAAGAAGATCGACGAGCATCAGCCCGCAAGCAGCGCTGCCATCTGATTGCCAGCTGCTCGCTCACCCAAGGGACCCCTAGCCAGCGCGGCGAAATCCAGAACGCAAAGTTATACGTGGATCAAGACGGCCGGGTGAGTCTGCCTGTGCTTTCCTTCCCAACTACTGGCTGTCTGCTTCAGTCTGCCGTCTACCGGAGCAATAGACAACCGCCATTCAAACGTCGCAGCAAAGCTAAACATAACAACCTGTTCCTTTCGGAACATACAGCTCTACATCACGAAAAAAACCGCCGAATGCGATGTCTCCATTCAATGGGGGGTTTTATACCCATCCAGATTTCCCGACCGACAATACCTCCGGGCTGGTGACTATCACAGGCGAACAACCACCCACTTTACGGTGGGTGTTTCTCGACGCGCAAACCCACGAAGTGCGCTGGGGTAGTCGACCCGACAGTGAAGGCCACGTCTGTGGGCCCTTTGACTGGACCAAGGATAAACAGCGATTGACGCTGGATGGGTGGGAGGGCTGGCTGGCGGTGCGATTGCCGGACGATGAGGCCGGAACCGGGCTTTGGCGGCTGTACTTCGACCTGAACGATGACGGAGCAGACCTGCCAGTTGGAGCGCAGGGATTGGAAATTGTACTAAGGCGGGTAGCGGCGGAAGCTTGAGGGTTTGATTGTTCTGTGTTCATGAATAGATCATTGTAGATAGAGTAGGCTAGAATAGAGGGTGTCAAGATGACGAACTGCGCGGAAGGTGGAGTAGTGGAGCGGCTGGTGGAGTGGACAGCAGCATGATGTTGGATCTGGTGGATCTGCTGGCGGATCCCCCAAAATACAAGCTGCTGCCGCCATGGAAAAGCCCGAGCTGGCACTTTGACCTCCACCCACTTTCACCTGATATCCTGTCAAGCTGCGTTATTTCAAACTCTCTCTGTCTGGATTTCTTGCCGGATGCGCGTTGGTAAACCAATGCATACCCTCTCTCAGCATGCGAGACTGTCTGTTGGTGCCTCTTTGACCATCTAAATCAGTCATTCCAGGGCACCAGACCGACTTGCTGTAGCGGGTCGTCTTGCTTGATTTATCGCCCCATTTGCATTTGGGGAGTCGCTCTCACAAGGTGGAATGCGAACATGTGCTGCCTCGAACACTCGGTGGAGTTTGCAGATTTGTATCTCGCTGCATGTCCACTCGCATATTTTCCTCCATCTCCTCTGCTTCCTCCTCATCTCCCCAGAATTCTCGAAGGTCTTCTGCTCGCCAGCTTGTTGCCCACCCCGTCTCCCGCTCGATACGCGTCAGCGTCTGAATGATAGCGGCGTGCTCGGAATGATGAGACATCACTTTGCCAGCCAGCCAGAGAGGTTGCAATGCATTGGTCCAGCAGCCGCTAAGTTACTAAGGATTAGCACCCCATCAAATTATGACACTGTGGGACTCCATACTGATGAGTGTTCGAGACGGAAATAGCGCAGATTTGTCGTGCATGCCAGAGGACAGACTTCTAGTTCCAATATTAGCGGCCGAATAGATAGGGGAGCTCTCCAGCAAGATCCTACCGTTCGACGTCGCTGCATTGGAAGAGTTTTGGGCTTTCCCTGGAGTAAGAGAAGAGCGCAGGCATGATAAAGTTGGTTCCCGGATACTGAGGCGTCAGATAGCGACATATGAGCGCTTGAGAGGCACTTACTAGCAGCTCCATTCCCATAAAGCACAGTCGGAAACGGCTTGTCATTATCCGCCCCAACTGTCGCGGTCGGGATACTAAATAATGGCTTCATCTGACTGGGACGATTCTCGTACCACTGTTCCACATCATGCAGCAGTTGTTGCCATTGGTCAACATACGATGGGCCATCTTCCAGGATGCCGTGGTAGTATGTGGAAAGTCTAGCAGAGCCAAACAGCACGCCCAGTGTCTGCGCACATAGGAACACAGTGTAATTGGCATATGTATCAAAAGCATAGACATTTGACGCCAGGAACAACTGTGCAGCTTCGGTAGGGGTCATGTCGCGTGGAATCCAGTTACGAATGGGTATGATGGTTTCTTCTTCCGAGATGAGGCCACCGCAGACGTCTGAGATCATATTAGAATATTCGGGGCAGGGAAAGTAGGTGGACGGCATACCCATTCTCGCGAAGCACCAGAATAGCGCTTGTTCCTCCTTGCCAGAGAATCCATTAATCTCAGCAGCCTGGATCAGATATGCGCAGCCATCGAGATGACGCCGCCACTCCTTGGGGTTGCCTGACGACCCCAATCAGCTGTGCCAGACTTAAGAATGAACAGAACGTACAGCTAAGCATTTCTAACACGCAAAGAATTACGCAGGAGGCGATAACAGGAGTGCTCTTGCTTTCAAGCTCAGGGAGAAGCAGGTGAATCGCTTCTTGGTACAAGGACAGACTTTCGGATTGAGACTTCCGGTTCTGTTTCCGCTCCATCTGTCGGGCGGACAGGGCTAGAATTGAGTAGCGGAGATGAGGCGCCGACTTGGCCATTTGTGGGAAGGTTGAAGCAAAATGACGATGGTTGTCAAACATGTCAAGCTGAAGGGTCAGTGTGTACTGACAATTACCACAAGGTTCATGCCGGACTCACCCAAAGACAAATCTCGTTAAGGTAATTCTGCCACAGAACATTCTCCCGTTCGGGCAGAAGCTCAAACTCGCGCCCTGTTCTCTGATGTGTGACGACAAGAAGTTCCGTTCTTTTAGAACCTTCTAGCACTGTACTGCCGGGCTCCGGCACGATCTCAGGAGTCCTTCCCCGACTTGGGATATCAGGTCGTGCAGTCCAAAGCTGCCGGTTGCGAAGGGTAGTATGAAGAGCCTCATAAGCAGATCCAGGGATAAAGACATCGTTGGTAAAGCTGACTGCGTCAGAGAACACGCTCTGGTCAAACATGGGCGAGGGTATCGTATGATAGACATTGGATGCTGAATGTGGGAATTGCCCGGTGCTCCCCGTAAGATTCTGAACAGCTGCCAATTCATCGACAATAAACTCAGGGCTCGAATGCATATATGGGTGGTAATGGGACATATCTGGAGAGCTGTGGGATGCGTGCTCCGCCCCTCCGGCAGACTGCTGCAGATCCAGTCTGTCTGGGTTCTGGAAGCTCTCATGCGATAGCGGTGAGAGTCGCTCCGCGGTACGCGGGCTGAGATAGGGTTCAATAATTTGAGTGCTCGGCGAAGGAGACTCCAGCCCGGGGCATGCGTTGGCATTCTCATTATTGTTGCCATCCCCTAACGGTGCAGATGACGCGACACGCTCATCTACTGGTCGTCGAGATTGCTTGACTGCCGCTGTCTTGGCAGATCGCGCAGGAACAACATTCAAGATCTAGATCCGTCAGTTGAATACTCCTTAGTTGACCTACCTGGTCGACTGTGATGTACCTTAAATTTACTCTGACGACAAGCACGACTGGCAGTTTGGTTCATGGAAGGATGCTCGGGTTCGAGGACTTTGAGATTAGCCTCTCGGAAAGACCCCAGTCGACGCCATTCACACGTGTCGCCTCGACGTCTGCAGCCCGAGCAAACAGGCTTTGCTTCGTCACCTGGTACTGTCAGTTTAACGATCCGGTTGACCTTTGAGCAGCAAGATGGAAGCAGATAATTACATTTCCTGCGGCGACGGCTGCAGTTGATACAACCGGTACGAGTGCGTTTGCGCGGCGCAAGGCGGGATGTGTCAAGGGTAGCGCGCATGTTGTGGCCCGGATCAATTTCTGATTCTACCACCATTTTCAATTGAAGGAGAAAGAGAAATCTGGGGGATAAGATGGAGATCAAATCGAGGTACGTAGTATTGATGGAGAAACCGCCGAAGAAACGAAGACTGCGGGGAATAACAAGGAGCGAGGAAGAAAATTTCCCGATCGGGTAGAGATAACCGCCGAAGATGTGGGGAAAGGAAGAACCCGGGGGGGGGGGGGGGGG